ATATATGCACTCTCACTCACTCTCTCTCTCTATATATATACATATATACACACATACACATACATATATATGCACATTTAACTACTTTTATAAGCATTTGGAGTATAACGGCCATACTACCCATCATTTTCTAAGCATCAGCCCTGGTCCAGCTTCTTGCACACAGTAGATGCTAAATAAGAGGAAGATCACTATGATGATGACCACAGAGATAGGTTTAGAAATGTTAAGATAAAAGAAACTATATTTTACCAATATTACAGTGCAGACATAATCTCTGGAAATAAGCACAATAATTTTAACTACAAACAAATGCACTACTTAATTCAAGTCCAACATAAGCATCTCTGATTATTTTGACTTTGATGCCTAACACACATGTTTTTAGAAATTTTTCTATGGGGAACTCTTACAATATCATTGGCTGAAACAAGAAGAATATAAACCATCAGCAAAAGAAATACTTTAAATGTTCTAAAATTAACTTGGCAAGAAAGGATTTCACCAGACAGAAATCAAATTACTGTTAACTGTCCCATGCCAGTATTTGCAATATTGTGTAAAGGTCTGAAAATTCAAATAAGAAACTAATGGCAGGTTTTATCAGAGACCACTTTATCTGAGACCTCAATTTCAAATATTCTGCCCTAAAACAGAAATGTTATATTTGACTGAAACTCTTCTTAGTGACACAAAGACACAGGCCTAACATTCTTCCCCTTTGCTTTCACTGAATTTAAGCTTCTCCATGAGGTAAAAGCACATGACCAACCTAACAGATGACTTGGAGTTGCCTTAATGCCTTTGGAATTCTAGCCATTAATCTAAGCTTAGTACAAGTAAGCACACAATTTAATAACATGTAATCCAATTGGACAATGAATATATTCAGAGTCATTTGCCACAAATGATCATGAAAGATATTAATATTCATTAGCAATTTTTATGAGAAAATTAAGATGCTCCTAAAACTTTTTTCTTCTCAATTTAACCTCAATTCCTGGTCCTTATCATTTAGATTTCTGATAACTTCTTTTATAATTGACATTCATAAGATTTGAAAGGAAAGACAGGAAGTTCGGATCAGTCCTTTTTCCCGAGATATGATTTTCACATCAGCTAAGTGTATGGCACACTCACCAGTGATGATTCCTGACAAGTTTTCTTATGCTGGTAACATGTGGATTTCTGAACAGCCCATTTCTTAAAAAATTACTGTATAAAATTTAATTTCCATTAAAGAAGCCCAAGCAATAATTTCTGTAGTGGGTCAAGGAGTATTGCACATATATTTTAACATTCATTTCTGACCTATGCTGTGAATAATTTTGCCAGATGATGGCATTTTAACCACTCCACAATGTTCAAAGAGGAAAGACATAAGTACATTTTTTCTTTTCACATTTTGCACCAGCTTCCCGCATTAGAAAATACCAGTAAGCTAAGAAATGACGCCAGCATGCAGTAAAACATACTTCTTGTCATCTGCTTCCAGGTTTTCACAATTAATAGACACTGCCATTTCAGCTTTTCCTTTCTTCAGTGCCTGAAATTCTTGTTCCACAGGACTACTCATAACATTGATTGGATATGTAGTAATAATGAAGACACTGTAAAGTGCATTCCAGTCTATTAAGATAGTTATGAATAAGGTATTAATTTCAGTATTTTTCATCTACTTTAAGATTTCTACCTTTGATTCATTTACTTATTAAACTAGTATTGATTGATTGTCTGCATTCTGCTGGTTATTTTTATCTGAGTTTATCTGCCCCAACAATATATCTTTATTACATATAACTTACAGATGAAGGACAGAGACTCAGAGAAATGAAGGCACTTGTTTACTAAGACAAAGTTGGTATATTTTATGATTCAAAGTACAGTGCGTTTTCCATTCTCCAGCCTTCTTTTTTTAGAATGTGAGCAGTACTTGCAAAGCACAAACATTTAGTTTTGGAACCAAACTAAGTTGACTTCAAAACCTAAAACCGCCACATACAAACTACATGATTTTTAAAGAATTCTTAATCTCTGAAAGTCTCTGTGTCTTCATCTGCAAAACAGGAATAAAAGTAATATTTTAATAATATTTTTTAAAAATGATATATGCATGTGTAACATTTAATGTATAACATATGGTGTATATAATGTGTAACATATAATGGTGTATGTAACACATTTAGGAAGTAATAGATGTGCATTAATAGTAAGTAATAAAGGGGAGCCCTGGTGGTCCAGTCTGTTAAACGTCTGCCTTCGGCTCCAGGTCATGATACCAGGGTCCTGGGTTTGAGCCCCACATTGTCCAGATCCCTGCTCAGCAGGGAACCTGCTTCTCCCTCTCCTCCCCACTTGTGCTCTCTCTCTCAAATAAATCAATAAAATCTTTTAAAAAAATAGTAAGTAATAAAAATACTGGAGGTAGATTGTATCTACTCCTTTTAGTGGGAATATGGATTAATCACTAGGCTGGGAGTAAATAAATGAGATGTTTAGTCCTTCTTCACTTAAAAAAAAATGGTTCTCTAAAGATCTCTCAGGTCAATATTGAAAAAGAAAGACAAAAACTTGCCTTCTGATGAGAGAGAAACAATGAAAGTCTACGATGTAATAAAAATTACAGGCAGTGTTTGGTACTATGAAGGCTAAGTCTTAAAAAGGAAATGATGAACGATGGGGTTAGGATCTAGCAGGTGGGGTTGTCAGAGAAGTCCTCTCTGAAGAAGTAACATTGGAATAGAGACCTGAATGAAGTGACACAGCAAGTCATACAAAGACCTAGGGCCATGGCAGAGGGGGTAATAAGCTTGTGATTGAACAAAGAAGTAACAGGGAAGATGGTAAGAGGTTGTCAGAGATAGAAGAGGCCAGATCATGTAGACTTCTGTAAGCATTTGGATTTTATTCTGTGTTTGGAAGCCATTGGAGGCTTTTATTGAGAGCGGTGGTAATTGGGTATCAGCAATAAAAGGTCTCTCAGGCTGCTAAGTGGAGAATAAAATCTTGTGTGGAGAACAGACTCCTATGTGGTTAAGCATGAAAGGTGAGGAGATAAATTAGTTGCCACAGGTCAGGAAAGAGCTAATGACGGCTTCAAGTTAGACTCTGTTAGTTCAACCAATGAATACAGTTTGCATGAAACAGAGAAGAAAAAACAATGACTTCTGTGTGTTGGTTTTTTCCCAAAGCAACGGGATGAACAGTGATTCCATTTACTGAGATGGGAAGGATAGAGGAACACATTTTATAAATGTCTGATGAATCTCTTAGGCACCAAAGTGGATTTAGCGAGCAGGCAGTTAGATATCTAAGTCAGGATCTCTGGGGAGGGAGTGTTATCAGAGCTCCCAATTTGGGATTCACCAGCCCATGGATGGATTCCATGTGACCCATCCTTAGTAGTGATCTCCAGGGTGGGATTCTCACAATTTCCAAAAGAGGTCCAGAAAGAAAAGATCAGAATGTCATTTTTATATTTTATTCTTGTATTTAACTAATACTACATGATTTGATACCGATGCCCTCACGTGGTGCCTATCATGTATCACACTGCATTCAGGGTACCCTGAGGTGACTGTGGGAATTACATAACAAGGAGGCGTAAAGGGCAAAGCCTCATTTTTTTTCTTTCAACATCATGTGACACACTGGTGTACTTGTATCTGCACACAGGAATATATATGTGCATATACATGAATAGATTACCTAGTTTTAAAAATAGCTTTTTAAAATAAACATTGTATTTTTGTATTAACTTTAGATATACAGACAAGTTACACAGAGAGGCGCCTGGGTGGCTCAATCAGTTAAGCGACTGCCTTCAGCTCAGGTCATGATCTCAGGGTCCTGGGATCGAGCCCCGCATTGGGCTCCCTGCTCCATAGGGAGCCTGCTTCTCCCTCTGACCCTCTCCCCTCTCATGCTGTTTCTCACTCTCTCAAACAAATAAATAAATAAATCTTAAAAAAAAAAAAGTTACACAGATAATAGAGTTTCCATATATCCATCACTCCATTCTCCTAATGTTACCATACAAGGCCTCGGTTCCTTTGTCAAAACTAAGAAACCACCAATGGTACATTACTACCACTTTTATTTGAGAGAGAAAAATGATAATCTACTTTGATCCAGTAAGAAGTCAGACTAAAAAATCAAAATAACCGAAAAGATTATCTAAATATCATTCTATATACCTTATTTTTCACCCTTAAATGTGCCACGTGCATATGAAAACTTGAGATATTGACTAATGTTTATATGAAGCCATTAAGATTCCCACAACATATTTAAAATTTAAAATTAGTGCCATTGGTTCAAGACTGCTTGCAGAAAAAGCAGGAAAGAAGGAGACAGTCAGTGGTCATCTAAACAGCAGAAGCAGCAGTACCCCTTGATGTTCTGCCACAGAGAGGGACCCTACCCCAGTGGAGGGAAGGGAGCTGGAGGACCCAGTGGTCAACACCAGCAGGCACCACGGAAGGCAAAGCCATGTGATTTGATGTAATTGTATCTGGTGACTTTTCTACTACAATTATTCTCCATAGAAATTATAAGAACGGTAGCATCTGTTTCAAGACCATGCCCAATCAAAAGCGACCCTCAGATACAAGTACGACTCTAGCCCTTGTGTCACTAAGAAAACGTAACTAATCTCATTTGAGCCTCTGAAGATATAAATCAAAGGGGAAAAACCTAAATCTCTACAATGCAAACAAAAGCTCTCTAGTTTCTCTGACTTATATTCCAAATTAGTGCCTCTGACCTTTTCTTAAAACCTTAAGCATCACAAGGAAATCAGTGGGAAGGGAATCATGTGCTAACCAAGTACTTAAAGGGCAGAAAAACTCACTGGAGTGAAAGGGGATTAGTAAAGGGTGGGGAAGAGGACCAGCCCCTCCCAGTTTGGGTAAGCAGATTCAGGATTAGTTATCAAGCAGAAACCCACATGGCATTAACAGCTCTGACATCAGGAGAGAAGCAAATATAAAACACTCAGCTCTAAGAGGGGTTCATCAGAGAATCCCCTCCGGAGTGTAAGGTACTGGAGAGAAGCTCTATGGGGAGTGGGTGGACTCGCGCCAAAACTCCATTAAGATGGGAGACTTCAAGTCACGGAAATTAACTTGCTGAAGATCTGCTTCCAATTCTTCTTCCAGCTTCATGGTTAAATGTAATTAATGGCTGTGACCTGCTAATGAGTGCTTTTGTTAAGAGACACCTATGATGAGTATTTTTTTTTTAATAAATAGAAATTTAAGATGAAGAAAGCTGAATGCTAGGACAGGGTCTTTAATTATGTAGGTATTAAACATGTCAAGTTTTTAAAGGTAAATTACTATTTTTATGATTTGCTAGAAATGTCATTTTACAGATATGAAAAGCATTTTGAAGGGGGCTGGGGAGGGCTCATGCCTGTTTATAACAGTACAGAAGGAAAACTTAGGTAATTCATTGTGTTTTCTCCTTTTCAGCCTGGTTTTTATTTATGTGCTTCAGTCTCTGCACAAAGGGCTGCAAACCAGAGATTTGTTCTTCACTCTTGCTTAGAGCAGAATGAAAGCTCATAAACTCCTCTCTCTGGGATGCATCTTCTTGCCCTTGCTTTTTTTTCATCAGACCTGGGCTCAATTCCCAAGAGAGTGTGCCACTGTTGAGGCCTTAAGAAATGGTGTGTGTTGCCCAGACCTGTCCCCCCTGTCTGGGCCCGGGACTGACCGCTGTGGCTCCTCATCGGGGCGGGGCAGGTGTGAGGCAGTGACTGCAGACTCCCGACCCCACAGCGCCCACTACCCCCATGACGGCAGAGATGATCGGGAGGCTTGGCCCACAAGGTTCTTCAACAGGACATGCCTCTGCAATGACAATTTCTCAGGACACAACTGTGGGACTTGCCGTCCTGGATGGAGAGGAGCTGCCTGTGACCAGAGGGTTCTCATAGGTAAATGGGGATATGAGTGGAGGCACAGTTCTTCCTGAGACTCAATGTGTTTAAGAGAAAACTAAATCATTGGAACTGGAAGAATACCTGGAAATCCTATAACTCAACTGAGAAAGCTGAGGCCTGGAGAGGCGAATAAGTTTATACCGTTTAAAGAGTCAAGGCTCAGATCTGAGTAATGGGATTTGCTTCTGAAACACTTACTGGGCAATCATGCTATTCGAGGAACTGTGCTAGGTGTTTATGACTAGACCTTTCAGAAACATCTCAAGGTAGTTACGTTAATTATGGTAAGTGAGGTTCAGAAAGGTCTAATCCATATAGCTGGGACCTGGAAACCCTGGAATTCACCCCTGAGGTCAGTCTAGCTCTAAACCATGAGCTTCTTCCACTGCCCTGACTAACCCACGATGGATCTGCCCACTGCTATGATCAAGTTCAGCCATTTGAGATGACAAGTCTCGCCTGTGCCTTATTAAATCGCAATAAATAACAAGGCTCTAAAGAGTAAATCCAGCAATACTTGGTTGTTTTCTATGTGCCAAACATTGGACCAAGGGTTTAACAAGACTTTTATTGAGTCTTTGTTATGAGCCAGGCTCTGATATAATTTTTATGTGTGTCCTCTTTAATCTTTACAGCTATGTAAAGCAGATATTGTTTTTACATACACCTTACAGATGAAAAACTGAGACAGAAAAATGTGTGCAGAGTCATAGAATAAGTCTCTGGTCTTAACCACTCTGCCATGTTTCTGCAAGGTTTATGATTTTTAAGAAGGTAGAAAGTTCCCCAAATATGCCCATGATGAGCAGAAATAAATATAAGATCACAGAATCATAAAGTCCACAGTTAGATTAAAGAAAGCTAACAGAAATCCTGGGGGGGAGGGGCGGAGGGAGGGGGGCGTGGCCCGCTAGAAAACAGACCTAAAGAAGGCATTTTAGTAAGGGGTATTTTAAAAAGTATAACATGATTTAAGCATGCATGCAAATTATCATTAGTGGGTAAATGGGACATGGTGTTATGATTATGCTCACGAGGCTGATGTTTTCATGTTTGAACCTTCTTGAAGTCAGGAGAAACCTTCTGGACTTAAGTGCAGAAGAGAAGAACCGCTTCGTCCAGGCCTTAGATATGGCAAAGCGCACAATTCACCCTCAGTTTGTCATTGCGACCAGGAGATCAGAAGAAATACTGGGGCCTGATCGCAACACGCCACAGTTTGAGAACATTTCCATTTATAACTACTTTGTTTGGACACACTATTACTCAGTCAAAAAGACTTTCCTTGGGCCAGGCCAGGAAAGCTTTGAAGTGGATTTCTCTCACGAAGGACCAGCTTTCCTCACGTGGCACAGGAAACACCTCCTGCAGTTGGAGAGAGACATGCAGGTATGCAGGAAGCGTTTCGGTTCTCAGGTCCAGTTTGTAAGTCATCTTAACTCACTGGTTCTCAATGATCTAAACATGTGATTAATCTGCCTTTGACATTCTGTGAAGTTTCTCCCTGTACAGATTACTTACTCATTAATTAATCTTTATCTTTCATGAAGGGAAAAGAGAATAACATCAACAACGAGGCAGCCAGTTGGGACATTTGTAGGTGTGATTTAAAGTGTTAGGCATATTCTACAGCTCTGTAATTGAAAAAAAATGGTCTTCATATAGCTTGCAACAAAAGACTCTCATTTGCTATGTCTTCCTTCTCGAATGTAAACCAATACCCCCTCCTCCTGGTTTGGATGAAACAAGTGTACATACACTTCTCAGGCTACCAAGTCCCAAATACATCCCCCATTAGACCACCTGATGATTCTAATGTGGTACAGGGTTTAAATTATGAAAAAAAAAATCTTTTCCATTTATACTCTCATATTTTCACTGAATGCCATTTTGTCCCCATGCCCCGTACCACTTCAAGGCTTGTGGAAGAAACCTAACAAAATATCTCATAAATCAGATAGCATTTTTACTTAAAAGGCATCAACTTTTCTGGCATAAAGTGAACCTCAACCCAAACATAAGTATCTCCTGCTTATTTTTAAGCAGAGAGGCTCAAACCACATTAAAGCATCCCGCTAACACAGATACTTTATTATTATAGTTTCTTTTGCCAATTGCTTTTTCTTGAGAAAGGTATTGGAATTTTCAAATGAAATTTTAAATTATTAGATCTGAACTAGGAAATCCACAAAGTGAACCTGTTTTCTAAGTGAAATGGATTCCTTCCCTCAAATTAAAATCTAAAAATTAATCTGAAAATATCTGAGGGCAGAAAAGGTGCTTAGATTCATCTATTGATTTGCAGTATGCCTGTGTTCAGCATTATCACAAGAAAATAAATGGTTAGAAGAGAGAGGATTAATGCCCTAAAATACAGAATAAAATATTGGTATGAAAGCAGTCCAAACATATGCGGTTTGAGAGTGATTAAATTAATTCATCTGCTACTCTGAACTTCATATTTTATAGCTCTGATTACAAGTAAGACATTTAGTAGATTATGAGTAGATAAATCTGTCATTTGTAATCACCTCCAGATCTCCGTGCCTTCAAGTCATTTTCCCACGGGCACACCAAAACGAAAGGGCAGGTGGAAAGTATCTGAAAGCTTCGATTTTTCCTGTGTAAACTTCGACCTCTATGACTTACATTTTTAAAACCCAACAGCACAAGGGATCCAACAAATTACAGTCTAAATGTAATGCACAGTTGAAATGCCACATGAATATGCTCCAGCTCCCAAATGTCAGTTCTGAACCACAAACTGACTCTTAATGATCCCTTGGAAGCTGTCACTAATTTTCATGAACCAGAACAATGGCTTCTAAACAAGGACTCTAAACCCTTGGAGATCAATAACCGAGGATACCTTGGAAAGCTTTTGGTCCTCTAAAATACCCCGAGGACAAGGAGATGCTTCCTAGAAAGGGCTTAGAGTAAAAAAGCAGAAATGTACTAAATGTTTTGGAGGTGAGATAAAACAATGGCATGCTCTACACTCTTAAACATAACTCCCCAAAGGCCTAAGGGAATGAGAACAAGTACAATAAATACATGTTTTAGGGAACTCAATAAAATAAGCAGGTGATCTTGAGTCCAGTACTTTTAAAATTGTTGAGGTCAGCTCTGAAGGGAAACTTGGTTCCTGGGCTAAAGAACAGTATGCACAAAGAAATATTTTGCCTCCGTTTAACATTTCCTGACGGTATTTGTTTCAAGCAGAAACCCAAGCCTTCACAGTTTATATTCTGAAGCAGGGGTCTTTAAGTAAAACACCTTCAGTGCCCAGGCAGATAAGGTAAGTGTGAAAGAGCCTATGTAACCCATGAAAAGTCAAATCCATGTATCTGGTGCTTGGAAAACCTGGAACATACCACTGAGGTCTGCCTCACTCTAATCTGTAGGTGTCTTCCACTACCCTTGCTAACCCCCAAAACATTTTAAAGGCCAGACTCCAAATGCCTAAAGTCATTTAAGTTAAATTTTAAAAGACAGACACAAAACAAGAAGTACTGCTCTACGTAACATATTTAAAGGTTGGATCTGGCTACAGACCCAGACTTAGTGATGCTTGAATTAAAGATATGAAAACAGAAGGAGATAAAGAGTCAAGGAGCGAAAGTTATTATTGAGATTTTTTGGTATAAGCAACAGAAATGTAATTACTTGCCTAAAAAGGAAAGGGAAGACTTCCCCCCTCCTAAAAAAAAAAAATCATATGCAGAAACTTCTCTATAATGAGTTGAGTTTCATTCTCTCTAGTGCCTCAATGACTCCTTGTGGTATATGAGAAGATTTGCTAAATAAGGTATGTAATTCCTCTGGCTCCTCAGACACCACGGATATACTCACTCGTTCTAATTGCCCCAAGAGAGCTGATAGACTGCCAGGGAGAAAACCAAGCGAAGAGGGAGAATTTTAAACAAAAGCAGAGAACACTAATAATAGTTTCTGTGATCTAGGAAATGTTGCAGGATCCTTCGTTCTCCCTTCCCTACTGGAATTTTGCGACTGGGAGGAACATCTGTGACATTTGCACCGATGACCTGATGGGATCGAGAAGCAACTTTGATCCCACTCTTATCAGCCTGAATTCTGTCTTTTCTCAATGGCGAGTGGTCTGTGAATCCTTGGAGGATTATGATACCCTGGGAACCCTTTGTAATAGTAAGTTCCAAATGACATCCAGGATTCAGAATTCCCTACTAGATAAAGAGGTTAAATGTGTTGCCTGAAGGCCCTTCATTCTACTAAGGACTTCAGAAGAAAATCTACTTTTACTTTAGAGAATCAATGTACAGATATATTCCTTGAACACTGGGGCTATTCAAGGAAATCTCTAAGGTTCCAGGGCAGACAGAAAGTGTCTATACATTTTTATATTGCTTCCCTTAAGCAATTTGGTTAGTGCGTTGCTCACTCTCTTATTCTGTAAACGTTCACTCTCTTATTTTGGAAATGTATAGTTATATAAAATTCATCATCCTCTTAGCACACTCAGCACTGCTTAGTAGTCATGTGTCTTGTGCTAGAATTTCATAGAAAATTGTTTCCCTGGGAAATCTGAAATGTGCAGAAAGAGTTGAAGTGCCCAAAGAGTACAATTCTAGTCTGAGGGTCAAAAACAAAAGGTAATGTGAAGGATATCTTTAAGAAAAGGAAGATTCTGGGGCGCCTTGGTGGCTCAGTCGGTTAAGTGTCAGACTCTTGGTTTTGCCTCAGGTCATGGTCTCAGGGTCTTGGGATCAAGCCTGGCATCAGGCTCTGTGCTCAGAGGGGAGTTTGCTTGAGATTCTCTCTCTCTCTCTCTCTCTGCCCCTCCCCCTGTGCGCGCTCTCTCTCTCTCAAATAAATCAAATAAATAAATAAATCTTAAAAAAAAAGAAAAGAAAAGGAAGATACTACACAGAAAATGTCTGCCTGCTAACTACTTTCCATCTCTCTCAAAGCAAACACTTAGAGAGAAAGCTTAACCAGCTGTCTTAGCTAGCATCCTTTCTCCAGTGATTTAAATGCCACTTCTGCCTTAGGCCAAGTTTCTGTTATATGTGGATCTGTTCCTGAGTGTACCATTCTCTTCCTTGGATCACATTATTAGTCTCTGTGGTACTAACACAAGGTCTTAATTATTAGAGTCTCCCTACCCCGTCTTATTTTTCTTCTTCAGGCATGCTTGGTTATTTTAAACTTGTTCTTCCATGTAAAAACTAGATTTGGGGGAATTTATTTTATTAACATCTTCATAGTACATTTTACATATATTCTCTTAAGTTTAAAATATTAAATTCCTTTATAAACTTAAAAAAGGATATTCTTAAAAAAATAATATTCTAAATAGAACAAAAAAAAATCAGTAGATTTTTTTCACCATTAGAAGATTGTTTACCTGTGTATAGGAATAAGGGAAGAGAGAAGTGACAGTGTATTAAGTTTTTTCTATAGAAGTTTAAAACTTAGAATAAATTTCTCATTTGTTTGGCATGCTGAATGAGTGATCCCCCCCCCTTGAAATAAAATTGAGAATCAATATATCTTTAGATACCAAAATATTAATCTCTGAGCAGGCTATTGTATTTTGGCCTGGGATTTTTTTCCAGACATTTTCTGGTCATACAGATGATTGGATACCAAAGTATAGCACAGCTTACGTGGGTAAATAGGAGAGAAGATACTGTTTCATCACAGTCTTTTGGTCAGTTAGTCTAAGTCTCATAACAGGACACATAGTTTCATGAAAAATTAAGATTATGTACTTTAAATGAAACAAATTTGAAGATTACTCCTTGTCTTAGTTCAAGATATAAATACCAAGCATTTTATTTATTAGGCCAGTGAAAGAAAAGAAAAGGAAACTAATAGTTGATTCAACACATACTATGTATCTGATATGGTGCCAAATGCTTTAATATGATATCTTATATAATTCTCCTAGAAAGCGGTGCCTGGCTGTCTCTGTCAGTTAAGCCTCTGTCTTCTGCTCGGGTCATGGTCCCAGGGTCCTAGGATCTAGCCCTGTGTCTGGCTTCCTGCTCAGCCGGGAGCCTGCTTCTCCCTCTGCCTTCTGCCCCGCCCCCCTGCTTGTGCTTGCATGTTCTCTTTCTCTCCCTAATAAATAAATAAAATCTTTTTAAAAAAGTAATTCTCCTAGGGATTCTTTCCTTTCTCTACTGTCTTTGGATGAAATGATCCATTCCTGTGGTTCCATTGATCATCTTTTACAGGACAGCCATGAATGAACATTTTTAAGGCAAATCTTCCTTGCATATCCCATGCCTGTGTTATCATGGGCTTGTTGCACGATGTCTCTCCAATGTCCCATTAATGCACCAAACTTGGTAACTTTGAAAGAGTGAATTAGTGACACCTAAGCCTCTTCTAACCAGTAAAATATCATCGCTGATTCATCACAAGAAAAATGCTGTTTCTACACAGTATTTCCTAAATCTACTTTCTCCTTCAGACACTCAGAACTTTTTATTCCTTCCTGCGTGAAAACTCCACAAGACTCCAATCCGTACGATGTTTTTAGGTGCATTGGCAGAGGTTGTCCATGTGCAAACAAATCTAAATAGCCCTGGGTTAAATTAAACTGGTTTAAACTAGTTTCTTTACTATCGGAATTCTCCACTATGAAACTCCATGAGAGCAAATTAGAAATGTAGTGTTTTTGAAACCCATGTAAGTTATAATTTTTTCTTGGAATTTATTGACACCTCCTGAACAATAATCCCTAAAACATAAACTTGAATTGATAGTTTACCCAGTGGTATCTGAAAGTACTAATAATAATGTATGCCTAAAAAATGTGCATCTACTTTCCAATCTCAATCTTGGCATATGTTTTATTTTTATATTATATAAATAAATTTACTATGCTAATTCATCAGGTATAATCATTATGTTAATTATAATAAACATTACAACAGAGTAAGCTTTATGAGTGAGGTAAGATGAATACAAGTTCACATTGTAATATCACCTCTCTCATCCCAGTGGATTATTCTGCAGATACTCTTAGGACACACACGCTTCTCTGGAGACCACTGGAACAGACAAATGCAAAATGCTCCTAACCAATCTCCTCTCCTCCCACCTACCTATGACTTCTCTTCACTTCCTATTGAATTAAATGTAACTTTCTCCTATTGCTCTGTAGCTTTTCATTGTTCTCACCATCCGCTACTGTCTTACATCGCCCTCTACTCCAGGCAAGCCATTTCCCACGCGGACCTCTGTTACAGCCAACACGATCTTTCCATACATCAGCATACAACAAATGATGATTTAGCATCTATTCTATGCCAGGCACTGTGCCAAGATTAAGGGATGTACTGGTGAGCAAGTACAGATAGAGTTCTTGCTCTGACGGAGCTTATCTTACAGATAGGAGAAAGCTTAGCATCTCTCGTTATTACCTCTGCCTAAAATGTTTGACTTGTAACATTTCTCCTATTTCACCTGAAAATTCTCCTCAGTCCTTCAGGGCTCTTTGCAAATCTCTCTTCTTTAATGGCGCCCTCCTGGAGTCATCCAACTGGAAAGGATTGATACTCTCTCTCCGTCTCTGTCTCTTTGTCTCTCTGTGCCCCTTCTCTACCTTCCTGTCTGCCTCTTCCCCTCTCTTTCTCTCCTTCCCTCCCTCCCTTAAGGCACCTATCCTATTACCCCTAGTATCACAGCTCTTTGTTTGCCTGTTTTTCTTACTGCCTTTTAAAAAGTTTAATTATTGGGGCGCCTGGGTGGCTCAGTCGTTAAGCGCCTGCCTTCGGCTCAGGTCATGATCCCAGGGTCCTGGGATCGAGTCCCACATCGGGCTCCATGCTAGGCAGAAAGCCTGCTTCTCCCTCTCCCGCTCCCCCTGCTTGTGTTCCTGCTCTCGCTGTCTCTCTCTCTGTCAAATAAATAAATCTTTAAAAAAAAAAAAAAGTTTATTTGCTCACATCAATTGCTGTAAAATATGAATCTATTGAAATATAGACCACCTCCCAAAGAAATTTTAGACTGTTTTTCTTTATTTCTCTGAAGGCTTGAAACAAATAGCATTTGAGTACAAAATTTCACATATATGTGAAATATAGATTTCAGTGTGGAATTTAGGTTTATGAGATTATTTTGGTAAAATTCAATTTTCCAAGGAATTTTGATGTTAATATATTCTCATTACAGAAGCATACATTGATTAAACAAATACCAGAACCTCTGTTTTGTGACCTTTTTTTTCTTCCAGTGATTTTATGTATCACAAATCTAACTCTGCTTGCATGATAACTTAAATTTTCTCACTGTAATGCCCCTAAGTATGTATTTTTTAAAACTTTCTCTTCTACCAAGGAGAACCTATCTTTCCATGTTCTTGCTATGTATAAAAATTAAAGAGCAAAGATAAGATCTCTAAATATTCTATAAATGTTTACATAGCCCATCCTTTTTCCAGGTACCGAGGGTGGGCCAATTAGGAGAAATCCAGCTGGAAATGTGGCTAGACCAATGGTGCAACGTCTTCCAGAACCACAGGATGTCGCTCAGTGCTTGGAAGTTGGTTTATTCGACACCCCTCCTTTTTATTCCAATTCTACAAACAGTTTCCGAAACACTGTGGAAGGTAAGTAAAAGAAATCAGCGCTTTGAATTCATCTGGTTATCACAGCCCCACAATGAACTGTTCACATTCAGATCTCTTTGAAAAATCTTTGAAAGACACACTGATCCTGTGAATTTACATGATGTTGCCTCCAATTACGACGCAGTCACAATTCTCTGCTCAAGAAAGAACTTGTTAAGTAAAGTGTCAGACCATGAAACTCTTTTTAATTATCATAGGAGAAGCCCTTGGAAATTATTCTTCAATCTCTTAAGTACCTAAAAAGTATTTAAACTCAAATCTGTTAGGTGGCTGATCAATAGGTGTATAACTATATCAAATTCTAATAGAGTCAAATAATATTGAAGACTTTGAGAGCTTATTAAAATTTTTCTTTAAAAATAACAATAAAAAATTCTAAACAATTAGCTGACAGCCAATAAAGCCTGGCTGGGGCATATATTTCATTTAAGTTTGTATCATTCCTGTAACTTTTTTTGAAGGTCTATAAAAATTCAACTACCATATAATGATATTTAATTTGATTTTCCTTATTTAAGTCAAAGCATTTTAAAGCTGAGGAAACTAAAGACCAAAGAGCTAAAATGAATATCCCACGATACTCAGTAACAGAGCACAATTTCAAATCCAAATTTTCTAAGTCCAGTGTCTTTAATGATAAATTTTGATATCTCTAAATCATTATTGAAACATATTTAAAGTTTTAAAACAACAGAATCACATTTAACGTATTATAAACCTCTTACTGCCAAAATTCACATTATATACAGCATTAAATATGTTAGACTCTTCCCCCTAAAGAAGAATGGGAATGGATCTCTCTGTCCCCATGATCTGAGATACTTGATATAGGTATCTCATCATTATTTTCAATTCTCTCCCCTTTTATCATCAAAACTGCATGCCATTCTCTTCTATCTTTATGTTAATTTTAATAACTAAATATGAATGCACTGATTCGGAGATTATTCAATAAATAATCACTCTATTTTGACTAAACTGGTATATATAAACTAAGGCCATAAGCGCTAATTTCTGAAAGAATGTGTAGATTGCATCTTATTGAAGCCCAATCAAAAGACAAATTATTCTGATTTCCTGACAGAATGTATGAAAGGACCAGAGCCTACCAACATGCCCTGTATGTTACAGGCAATCTTTAAACATTTTGTAAATAAAATAATGGAATAAATGTATGAAACATGGCTAAATAAATGAGTGAGTGTAATTATACAAATGGGTTAATGTATTTTAAATTCTAATTTTATTTTATAATATGTAACCTTTCCCTGCTCTCCCACCTCTGATTCTTAAAGCCAAACACGCACACTTATAACTCCACCCCACATCATAGACTCTCCATTTTTATTTGTGATCTATCCTTACCTTCTGCCCAATATATATAGACATGATATATATAATATGTATAATATATATGAAAATATGTGTGGAAAATACATATAATATATAATATGGGATATATAACATGAGAAATATATAATACATGTAATACGGAATATGTACATATTATATGGGAATAGCATATATATATCATATAGAATACAGGAAATGTATATATAGAATACCAATAATTGCCAGAAGTTATATAAATGTTTCAACCAATAGGCTCTCCAGATGTTTAAAACTAGTACAGACATGGTAAGAATGCTCTGAGAAATTGTGACTTTTCCACAAAAATAAGATAACTTTCCAAAAATAAATCTGCTGACAGTCAAAAGGAATAAGGTAGTAAACTAAAACAACATCTGACAATGTAAGTTCTAGGACAATTAGAGGGATGTTCTCCCGATGTGTCAGCAGTTTTTAGAAGGAGCTAGAGACTTCCCTTGTCTTTATTTCCACTAGACCAACGTTTGCCTTGTCAAAATAGTGTGTTCTATATATTTTGACTGGTATCCTTTGCAGGTCATTATTTTTCACCTAGAGGCTACATTTAGCATGTCAGGCCACTGGCTTAAAGCTAACCTACCTCTGGGCATAGCAGGAAATGTCACCAACCATAGGTCCAGAGAAGCGATGCTATTATATTAAGGTAAAAATTGGCCTGAAAAAGCTTAGGAAAAATTGTTTCCCTATACAATCACTGTTGCTGATTTGAGAAGTAAGATGTTTGTGACGGTTTTTACTATTCTCACCCCTATTTTTATATTTAGGTTATAGCGATCCCACAGGAAAGTATGACCCTGCTATTCGAAGCCTTCACAATCTGGCTCATCTATTTCTGAATGGAACAGGGGGACAAACCCATTTATCTCCAAATGACCCTATTTTTGTCCTCCTACATACTTTCACTGATGCGGTCTTTGATGAATGGCTGAGGAGATATCATGCTGGTAAGATGTTTTCATATGATTTTTTGCAGGCTCACCAAGGAGACTGCTTAGGTGCTATAGTTATCATTACAGAGTAAGCACTTGACACATCTAAACTGCACTTCAAAATAAGGATAAAATAGCTATGATATCTAGCCGTTTCCAAATATCCCAAACTACTTTGAAAATGCTGACAAAACATCCCTTACAGCGGTTAGAAGAGGATATTTACTAGCATTCACTCGGACTAAGCACGTAATCTCTTCTCATTTGTGGTATGAAAAGATGACTATCATGCTGCCCAATTTTTTCTTCCCCATATCTTCCAATGAACATTGGCATTGCCTTTTTTTTTTTTTTGGAACATTTTTATTGTGAATAAAAAAATCTTACTGAGCTCTTCTTCAATACCTAAAAGACAAAAAATTATACTCACAATCCACAGTTTTGATTTTTATTACTTCTGGCCTCCTATAAATGGAAATTTTGCCCAACTTGAAAAGTTAATATTGGTTTTTTATCACAGCATAGAGAATCTCTTTCAACTTCATTTTAATGCATTTAAAAAAATATATTATTGAAAAGGCCTTTTTCTCTTCACTTCTATTTAGCCAAAAGGCTCACATTACTTTTCAAATAATGACAGTGCTTCTATTGGTTAAAACATTATACATTTTCATATTTCAAAACTGTTCTAAATTTTGCCTTCTGTGCCTTTACTTCATCACACACACAAATATAATGTTGTGGATTAACTATCTATTGATTTATCTATCCAATTCGACCAGTCTCTTATTTCTTTGTGTGTGTATGTGTGTGTGTGTGTGCAGTAGAAACCTCTAATCCAACCTGATTATGAGAATTAATTAATGTGTTGATCAAAATCATATGTTCCATCAGAAAATCACTGAAGAAACCAATAACTTACACGTAAATATTCATTCATCACCTGCTATGAATTCACTGATTGGAGTGCCACCTATTTCATATGTATTTACATACATACCTACAACCATAATGAATTATCTACAATTTACAATGTCTATTTTTTAAGCGAAACAAGAAATTAACAACCCTTGAGATGCAATGAGTGCAGTATTATTCTAGATTATCATAATGCCTACCTTATCTTTACAACCACAGTGCTCACTCCTAATTCTTACCCAATATCTCAGGCATTCATCTTCAACAAATATTTCCTAAGCATTCATGTATTTAATAGAACACAAAATCCCTCTTTTTCCACAATCATAATTATCATTTTACGTATGTTTAGCTATATTACTTTTATGACAGTAACAAGTAAACTGGAGTTAATAGGTTTAGGAATGAACAAAAACTTCCATTAAACATACACTTCTGGGAACTAGACAACAATGTATGAATTATAGTTATGCAGCCCTTCAAAATGCCAGGGCCGTTAGTAAGTTTTTCTTACTTAACACTTACTTAAGAAGTAAGAGGAAGTGGAGAATCTTGGTTACTCTGGCAAGTCTCTTAAGGGGAGCTTTCTTTCAACCATGAAAACAAGTATTCCTTTGCTTTACATATCTTGATTGAAAAGATCATTATTTCACATTCATAACAATCCATTAAAGGTCATTGATGAACCAGATAAACACCTTTCTTCTTAGTTATTTTCTTCCTGCTCCCTTTGTTTGTGCTATAAATAGCATAAGATCTCTCAGTTACCTGGAGAGTAGTGGAGGGAAAAGCACCATAAACGAAAAATAGGGTACCTGGAGCATATTCTGACAAAATATGGCCATAAAATTATAGGACAAGCCAATGTAAACACTTACAAATTGCATGAACGCCAAACACTAACAATTAACCACCTGCTTAAATAGTCCATGTATCTGCAAATGTCCCTTGAAAAACAATGTCATAGAACAACTATGTTAGAGAAAAAAATAAAACGATTGGGAAGATTTCTAAAATTATCCTTATTGTAGAAGTCTCTGTTGAAAATAAGTCTATGAGTGGAGGATGGAATTATTTTTAAGGGTGTATTAAACAGTTTTTATAGATAATGAGAACTCTTCAAAAATCATAGGTATATAAAATTATTAGGGTCAGAATGGAATAAGAGTTACATTTTACAGCTGAAGGAAATTATAGTCATTCACAGGGTAATGTCTGTTACAGAATCCTCTCATTAGACCTGAGGTAGAACAGTATAGAACATTCAAACTTTATTTAATATAATGTTAATTTTTATTCACTAACATTTTGTATCCATGTGCACATTTAATTCAAGTCTCTTTTTTTTAAGTGAGAATTATGTGAATTAAGTTTTAAATATAGTACTCCAGAAGTTCAGTTTTTTCAGAAGAAGCAGTTTATACATTTCCTAGGACCAATCACTACTATTTTGCCCCGAGAGAAACGAAGTAATTACACGTAAACTCAAATCCTTTCACAAATATTATCTGATTCCATATCCTGGCTATTGTGAGTGACGCTGCAATGGACACAGGTGCAGACATCTCTTTGAGATACTAATTTCATGTCTTTTACATACACCCCCGGAAGTGGCATTGCTGGATCATATGGTAGTTCTATTTTTAATTTTTCGAGGAACTTCCATTTCTTTTTTTTTTTTTTAAAGATTTTATTTATTTATTTGAGAGAGAGAATGAGA